TTAATTTTAATGCATCAATATTATAATTTGTAAAATAAAAATCCGACTGGAAAAAGTTCTCAAGAAATGTCAAATTAAAAAAGAAGATTTGGATATTTTCTTTACAGATTATTAACGCATCAAAGCCCATAATCTCATCTATATGACTTAAGCCATTCAAAAAACAAATCGTATTTCACCAATAGAAATGACTATTATTAAAACATAATAACTCATCAAGATTTAAAAGAAAAAGAGAGAAAAAAGTTGTTAGCTTTAAAGAAAGAAAATAATTATTATATCAATCGAGGGTTAAATATTCCTCAGTAGATGAAAATGAAGTAAAAATATTTTTCAAATAGGAACATTTTTCCAGAAGAAAATCAGATTTTAAAAAATTTCATTTAAATTTGTTGTCGTTTTACGTTTAAACGATTGGTACAGAATCATGAATTGGAAGATTAAAACAAAAGCTCAAGCTAGGAAGTCCTAAGCACTAAGTCCTAAGTGCTAGCAACAATTAAACTAGTTCTAGTTCAAGCTCGAAAGAGATAAAGATCAAAATTAATTTATTAATTGTCAAAAATCTAAAAATGTTTGTGCAAATCATGAAAAAAAAAGCGACAATTTGAAATTTAAATGAAATTTTGAAATAAAGCCAAATTTTTGGGAGACAGTATTTAGCTTAAAATTATATTTAACAGAGTAATGTAAAAAACGATTTAAAAAAATTTAAAAAAGAAAAAAAATATTTTCTGAAATTTAATTTTCAAAAAAGAAGGCAGGACAATGGAAAATATTCAGAATCTGATAAAAAAGAGAGAGCAAATAAAATATCATAGAGTGTAAATATAATTGTGATACATTAAACTCAAATCCATTGAGTAACTATTTAGCTATCAACTATGACGTATTTGTATTAACTCAATCGTTTAGTCTCTTGGACTGGTCATTTCCAAAAAAAAATTTGCATGAGGCAGGAAAAGCTTCTTCGTTAGATATCAAAAATAATTACTCGATAAATTAATTCATTTTCCTATTTTTTTCGCTCAGTCTTATCTTTTGAGGTCAATAAAAGCCACACATTTTATCACATTTTAATTAATCAAACTGAATCTGAATCTCTCTATCTTTGGAATCAAAAGAGGAAGAAAAGAAAAAATTATATACATTTTTACATAAATTCAAGGAACAAAAATTCCTATTATGTATAGCGAAAAAATAAAAGAAAATTTATTGCAAAATATTAAAGAAAAAAAAATGATGGAAAATCATGTTTGTAAGGAAAAAATACATGGACGTTCATATAGAAAAAAAAAATATATCGCATGAGCTTATTATATTTATATAGATTGGTTTTTATAGTGCCAAAACGATAACATCAAAGCTATACATCAATCATAAATGAATAAAAAAAAAATTGAGAATATCATTCGTTTATAATTTTCCTGATAACTTTTACAAAATGCATTTCTAATATTTATCAATCGAGACTTGTGAAGAAATTTAGTTTAAATCACATTTAATGAATTTGACATTTTTTTGCTGCACTAGATTGCGATCTTATCATAATCATATTATTGATGATTTTCAATCAAAAATTTGGTTTAAAATTTCTGAAGATTGATGTTTTTTGTTCTTAAAAAATTAAATTGAATAAATTTGAATTTTTCATTTTATATAAAGAAGCATTATGATCATTGTTGATAAATTAAAGTAAATTCAAAAGTGCGCTTCTGAAAAATCACAATTTTAATCATTTTCATTTTTAATCATTTTTGATCATTTTTAATCATTTTTGATTATTTTTGATCATTTTTGATCAATATTGAACATTTTTAATTATGTTTGATCACTTTGGATCATTTTAAATTATTTTTGATTCATTTTGATTAATTTTGATTCATTTTTGATCAATATCGATCATTTTTTAATCATTTTTGGTTCACTTTTGATTCATTATTAATCATTAATTGATCAGATCAAAACCATTGCAAACATTTAAATTCTTTAAAACTTGAAAATCATTGAAATAAATCTTAAGATAAAACATCAATCAACAAAAACCTAATTCGATCAATTTTGAGTGCTTTAAAAAATTGAATGTCAAATTTTTTGAGTGAGTTTAGCTAATTTTGATCAAAAGACGGTTTAATAATTATGAGAGTAGATTGTATTTACTCAAAGCCTTTATGGTTTTTAGTATGAGCTTAAAGAAGAAAAACAGAAAAAAATGGAATAATTATTCTTCAACTCAAAATATCTGCGTATTTTCTAGCCATTATTTCTACGGCCTATTTGAAAAAAAAAAGTAAGGAATCATAGTGAATACTGTGAGATCCTTAAAATCTAATCATTGAATTATACTTGTCTACTTCTATAAACTAAATATTTATATTAATATTCATAACATATTAATTACACAAATTATTATCTACATACTTCTTAAACAAAACGAAAAAAAAAGATCACTGTAGTAATGTTCTATTAGTGCATATTTAAAAAAATATAATTATGAAGAAATCAATCACGCACTTATTTCTCGCTTTATCGAACTAATTATTATGATATAATAGATGAAAAAAAAAACCTTTTTGAAGTGAAAATAACTGTTCTTAATTCTGCACTAAATGAAAGAATAAGAACAAAATTATTATTCATGAATCAAATTATTGAAAAAAGAGTTGATACATAAAAATAATTAATTTCGAAAAGAAAAACCTATTTCTAGTTCTGTGCAGAACAGGAAAAAATAATATTTGAATATTAAAAGAAAGAAAAAAAAAACATCTAACCTGAAGACCATTGATGCTGGTAAATAACTTTGATACTTTTTGTGGATTTATAGTTCATATTAAATATGACTTGAAATTTAATCGAAGTAATTAAAAATAGATAAAAATAAAAAAAAAAATAATAAGAAAAAAAAAACTCACAACTGTGAAAAATGAATGGAGAGCTCGATGGATAAAGTTGGCAGCAATGGTTTTAGTAGATGACAATCAGTTTAAAAAAATATTACATCGTATATCTTATAGATTATATTAAAATGCTTCTATGCAGAAATTTATCAAAAAAAAAACTATAATATATAAAAAAATCTTCTCCAATATTCTTATTAAAAACTATTAGAACTGATGTTTTGTCAGTATAAATTATATATTATTTCTATTTTATTTTATTTTATTTTATATTTTTAAAATATATATTTTTTTTCTTTTTTTTTATATCCTAGCATATACCACTGGTATGATGATGAATTATAATTATTAAGGAAGAGATTGTGCAATCGTGGAATGCTTTATAAGTTTAATTTTTATGTTTAAACGGATTTTTTTTTATTCTCATTTATTTTTAACTCTTTGCAGAAAATATTCTTTATATGTAACTTTTCATTTGACGATTAGAGCGCATTTTCTGAGAAGCTAGTTGACCGAAAAAGTATTAAAAAATTTAACGGTTCTAAAAATAAAGTTTAAAGTTTAACGGCTTAAAGAAATCAAAATTAAATTCATGTTTGGTTCAAAAATCAGTTCCGAATCTCCAGAAAGTGCGCTTTTTAAGTTGAAATTTTTAAAATCTAATTTCCCCAGTGAGCTAAATCTTACAATAATCTGATTAGGCTTTACAAGATAAACATTTATAATTTATTAACATATAATTTATATTATTAAAAACTATTATTACTAAGCGTTTTCCTTTCAAAAAATGTGAATGAAATATTACTAATTTACTCATAGTGAATCTGAATTCACCTTTTCTGAAATCAATGCTTAAATATTATTATTATTTTTTATTAAAAAAATATAAATGTTTATTTTATTTTCCTTTTTATATATGTTATGTATAATATGATTAATAAAAGCATCATCTCTAAATGCGACATCTATCAACTTCAATTTTCTAACCTAAAACCTCCGCAAAAAAACATAAGAAATATGGAAAAAATGTTGATATTTTCTCGAGTGATGATGATATTATGAAAAAAAACTTATATTTTTAAGATTTCTGCAAGAAATATTTATATATAAATAAAATCCTTAATGATGATGATAAATTAACAATTTTTTAATTTTTATCATTGGGAATATATTTCTGATAAGTTTATTATGTATGACTTTTCCACATAGCAAAAGAAGAAAAATGTGTAAGAAATAATAAATAAATAAAAATGAATTAGAACATATTGAAAAAAAAAACAACACAAGTTTCATTTTTAATTGTAATCGTATCGTTTATCATATTTTCCAAGAAATGTTTTATTTTCTTCAAAAAAATGACATAGATTATTTAAATTTATTATATAGAATAAATTTAAAATAAAAAGTGAGAAAAATAAAAATAAATTTAAATAAAGAAAACTAAGAATAACAATGAAAGTAGAAAACATCATGAGAGGTGTGAATTGCAGTTGAAAGAATTATAAGAAAAATGATGAAAGAAGAAAATAAAAGATTGTCGCATTTATCAAGAACAGAAATATGATTATAAATTAGAGAAATTTTTTGTCGTTTTATAAAAATTAATAAAAGGAGAAATTAAGAGAAAAAAAAATGACTTTTTAATCCTTAAATGCATGCCACAGTCACTCTTTCTTTTTCAGAAATTACACCTTTTCCTCAATTTTATGTTTAAGAATTTTCAGTTAAAATTTCTACAAATTTACTTTAAACGAACTTTTAAAATTTGAATCCGGGGGGGGGGGGGGGGGGGGGGGGGGTGTCAAGAAGTATGTAACGTTCTAAATGTCGTCTGTCTTTTAAAAAAAAGTTCACAAAAAAAAATTTGTTTACAAATTCACACTAAAACATTTTTTTAAATTTTCCACCTTTTTAATGATTTATGAAAAATTATGAGGGGGGGGGGGGGGGTGAGTTGTAACATATTGTAAAAAAAGGGGGGGTTGAAAAAAGTAGTTTTTTTGCGTAACGTAATAATTGAACGGCCCTAAGGATTTCTGCATTTCGTGGTTAACATAATTAATATTTTATTCATATAACTTTACTTTGTTCTGACTTTGAGCAATTTCTTTGCTGCTTTCTATGTCGAGTTAACATAACGGTTGTTTAAAATTCAAAAATCTGAAGGGGGGTCCTCGACTCAAATAATAAGCTGGAATAAGGGGTAAAAACTACTCTTCTTGACAAACAAAGCTACAGTTATTCAAATCAATGATCCCTGACAAAAACAAAATAAAGCAGCATGGGAAAGCACAAGAAATTCTTAAAATCGGAGAAAGCGAAGGTAAAATTAAAGGGAAACAAGCTTAAAGGACCACAGAATGTCACAAAGACAGACTTCAAAGTGCGTAAAATCATTTTGACGGATCAACTCAAGAATGTACAACAAATTGAAAGCGGTGAACGTAAAAAGCACAATATTACTGATGTTCTAGCACGTATAAAGAATTCTACATCACCGGAAGTAATTAGTAACTTGAAAGATATCATTTTACATCAATCGGAAGACTTCCAGAAACATTTAGAAGCTATAATTAAAAGTGTCGCAAATTTATCACTTTCGATTGAGAAAAATGTTCGTAAAGATTGTTTTAAGCTATTAGACATAATATGCAGCCAGACAACTGAATTCAACTTAAGGCCTTTCTTTCCAATTCTCCTAACATACCTAAAATGTGCAATGACACACATCAAGCCAGCAATTCAAGAAGATTCACTTCTTATGTTTGACATTTTACTGAGAAATGCACCAAAACTCGTTGCATTGGAAAGAGACAAGATCATGCCTAATTACCTTGATTTAGTGTCAAAAATAAGAACCGAAAATAATCCAGAACGAACATTGTCACTTCAGATTGGCAATAAAATCACAAATATGAAATGGAGAAAAAGTGTCTTGGAACGTCTAATTGTTTATCTGAAGTGCATCAATAGCCAACAGAATGAGAATAATGCTAGTGTGGAAGTTAAAAGCTTTGCCAACGAAATTGTAGTGAATGAATTGTAAGTATTGAGAATATTACTGGATCTTGACAGATTAGATTAATCCATTGGATTTATTTAAATCCGAAGAATTAATCTGCAAGATTTATTCTTAGCTATCATATTAATCCAAACATTTCTCTCAGAGCTGAATTTATTTGCAATCCTTACGAACGAAGGAACATAGCAACAATGGATATAAACATGCCGACTCTAGATCGATCAGATAACTTCACAAAGACCCTCAATAAGCACGAATCATCAGATCAGATTGCAAAATATGTTCACATGATAATGCCATTAATGTTTGAGACATGGATGGAACTAAAGCCTACAAATGAGACGACACATGTAGGATCGATTCCACAAGACAGTGCTCAAATGTTGAAATTGATTATGGATATCCAAATTGAGCTGTTTAATATGATAGAAGGGAATGTCAATTTAAAGCAGCAGTTCCTGAAGAAATATCAAGACAGTTTTGATAAGCAAATTTTATCAAACTTTCCATACGTTCAGAATGACGATGGCACTAAAAGAACTCAAGAAAATGGAGGTGAACGATGCATTTACCAAAATCTATCAATAGCTTTAATGTACTTTCAATTTTCAATGAGAAATCAGCAAAGATTCTCAAAATATCGCGAAAAATGCTTTGATTTTATTGAGGAAGCTATCATGTCATGGAGAAATAAAGATCAAGAATTTAATTTCCTCATTAAAAAATTAATTCGATCTTTATTCAGCCAGGAATCACAAAAGATATTTGTGAATGATTCAAAGAGAATTTTTATTGCTTTAGTCCGCAAATGTAATGTCGACCAAACAACTTACGATCCAAAATTAGCACTCGTTTGTGAAATATTTGAGAAAAATCAGGAGATGAAGCAATGTGATAGCGACAATAGCTTACTTTCACAAATGGTTCAGGTTTTGGCAGAGAAAGAATTTGTGCCTGTATATCTAATTAAAACCATGACGATGCTTTGTAAGAAAGGAAATAAGACAATAATTGAAGAAATTGAGAAGAATGCATTAAGTATTGTCAAAAATCTTCAAAAAAGACTCAAGATAAGTGGAAATCACTTAGAAAGTGTTGATAGCAATCGCTGGAAAATGGATATTGCTAATTTATTGTACTGGATTAATGATAAGGATGTTTTGTCGAAATTAAATGACCTTCCAAAGTCGGATAGTCTTGTTTCAGTCAAAATTGATCAACTTATTTCAATGAAAATGAGTGCTGCTTAACTAAGAGATGAATTAAGGTAAAATACAGTTTAATTAATTTTTGTATGAGAATTACCGTTACAAATTTTTTTGAATAAAAAAAATTGTTTTTAAAATCTTAGAAACAGTTGAAATTCAAAATTTACAAAATCGTTATTTTTCTTTGTGCTAGATATACTTTTATAGCTGAACTTCATCATAAACTTCATCTGAGTATAAAACCTGCTAAAATTAAGGCAAAATGAAATGTAAACTCACCAGATCAGTTTGAAAACAACACAAAATTTCAATTTATTGCAAACATTCGTTACATTCGGTGAAAAAACTCTTGACATGAGAAAAGAAAAATGGTGGGTATTTAGCTGATGATCTCAAATCATAGTCTGAACTTAGTTCCTGATTATTGCTTAACTGACTTACAGAATAATTCTTCCATGATAATTTAGCGAAATTTCTTCTTGGCGAGTCACCAATCTCTAGTTCCATAAAGAATGTCAAGCAGCTATCGTTTTCAACATTTTTCCTCTTATACTTTTGAGTGCCATTCGATGGAGTTTTCTTGATGACGATAAGTACGTGATTATCTTGATAATGATAATTTCCTTTTAAAATCTCGCGTGATTGTATTGCAATCTTAGGGTTTTTAAGCCTATTTACACTATTTTGTAGCTCATCAGCGGAAGTCATCATGAATAAAGTGCCGTCAGCGAAAAATCGGATTAAACGGAAGTATTCAACAATTTGTACAGGACGATAAAATTGATCTTGGAATGAATTCTCACCGAGCCGTTGATAATTAATTTTACATATATAACAACCATCAAATAGCACACGACATCTATTAATATAGATATCACGCCATGTAAGGCTTTCAGTAGCTGGTGAAACATTATTTTTCCATACTTTGTAGCATGCAAGCTTCCATATCTCTGGATCTCTTGATAGTAGGAAGAATCCCTTACAAACGCGACCAAATCGTTCAAGAGACTTCATATCGAGGTCATTGCTGACTACATACTTCAAAATAAGAAGTAAAACTTCAACTGGAAGTGCTGATATGTGTTTTCCCGTTCTTAAGGTTCCAGGCAAGTAAGAACTCTCACAAATTGGTTTATTTTCTAATGACAACTCTTTTTGAAAGCTATCGATCAAGTCTTCAAGGTCGTCATCATCATTCTCGATCTGTGTATTTTCAGTACTTCCTTTACTGGAACTTGCAATATTCTTTGAATATGCAGCTTTTTGCTCATTTTCAGCAAGAGTTGCTTGATAAACTTTATATTCAATGTTCGGTTCCAATTGTACTGCACGTCTGTACAACTTTACTGCTTCAAAATACTTTCGTGCTCTTTCTAGTTCAATACCTTCCAAAAATAACTTCCTTGCCATTTTTTCTCTTGTTTCATTGCTAGATTCATCTCTTTGCTGACTTTCTTCAATTTCTCGTTGCCACTGATTACGGAAGTTCTTTAAATCATCTTCAGCACTCCCACTTTCTTCCATTATGAAATTAGTTGATGTAATTTAATTCTTAGAATTTGGATGTAAATATTTGTGAATGTACAGCTGATTCTGTGCTGTTTCTTTGCGTTTTGAAGGGGGAATTTGAATTTATTAAGTTCGTTAACCAAAAGTTTGTTCTTAATCTGTGGATTTAATTTAAATCGTAAAATTTAAGAATATGATTAACTTTTAATCCATAGATTTAGAATAACTGCCTAAATTTAGATCTAAGCTATTTGAAGATTCACAGGCAACTGTCCAAAAACAGCATTTTTGAGTATTTTCATAGCTATATTTAAATTTTATTCAGGCATACACATAGATAATATAAAGTTAAATACATGCAAAGATCAGAGGATATATAATTAAGAAATGACATTTTCTAGGAACGAATTCTTGTTGATGACTTTCGTAGTCATGATAATAAATTCAACATTGTTTTCATCTTGCTGTGACAAGAATCTTAGTGCTGATATTTCAGCAAATGTGCAACCACCAACGAAAAATACTAGAATTGTCTTTGGAATGTCAGATTGTGATATTTCACTAGTTAATGAATCCCTACGTCCACTTGATGTCGTTATTGCCAGCTGATAGTCTTCAAATGAAGGTTCAGGAATGCAAGAAAGGATGTCATTTAAGCCACTCCATCCGAGTGGTCTTAACGAATGTTCAACAATTCGAATCGATAATGGAGCATAGAAACTGTGCACATAACTTATATCCTTTGGTGATACTTCTTGAAAGTCATCGACTGTTAAATTTAGAGTCTTCCTTAAAATATTATATGATCGACTTCCCGATTGAACTTTAATTAATCCAGACTTTTCAAGCTTTCCTAATTTCAACAACGAATCAATTCCATAAGAATGGAAAATTTCCTTCTTATATCCATCAAGAACTTTCTGCTTTAGTCCACTTGCTGCAGCACTTTGTATGCAAATAAGTCGTAGAACTTTTTCTAATGGCTTTTGAGTACAAATCATGCTTTCTATGTAGTCATTAGGCTTATCGAGATCATTGCACATCATAAATTCTTGTTCTGAAGATAATTCATCAAGAAAATCGTATTGTGAGATTTGTTCCTTAATTAAACTAGCAATTGTTGTATGATTTGCCAAGGACAATTCGCTTGCTTTTAATTTTGGCAAATGCTCAACAATCTTTTTTAATTCTTGAATAGTTTTCTCGCCATGTCGCTCATTTGCTGCTGCTGTTATTGTCTTTGCCAGTCTAGACAGCACTGGTCCAACAGCATTAAAGTTTTTATCACGAAGTTCTGCATAAAGTTCCTCTTTTGAGTTCAGTATGACTTGTTTCTTTTCATTGGATGTTGTGACTTTACTAAAATTAGTATCTTCTGATGATGGACTGAATTTTTCGGCTGGAAAGTTTACAGTCGTGTTATTAATTCCATAAAATTCATCAATTAATCCTTCATAAGTTAATTGTGTAGCAAAAGCACTTAAACTGTCAATTGATCGATCGAGTATAATTAACTGATCAATTGAGCCTTTCTCGTCAGCAATATTCTCATTCAATACGATATTTTTCGACAGTTCCTTGATTTTCTCTGCAAATTTTCCTTTTCCAACAATTTTTGGGATCTTTCCAAAAAGTTTCTGGATGTTGTAAAGAGCTAGTGCTGATTGATGTAAACTTGTTAAATCACCTTCAATGTAAAGTTCCTTAAAACAATCAGGATATTCCATCGATAAAAGATCTCTTTCGAGTGGAAATAGCTGACATTTAAAGTCATCAATAATTTGAAAGTTCCCATAAACTCCTTTTGTTTTTAATTGATTCTCACAAAGCAATGATCTTTTAGGTAAAAAGTATAGATAAAAGTTCTTTCGATAAACTCGATTCTTCTTCTCATCGCTGTGTATATTTGTTGCTATTTTGTTCATTAACTGCAAACTTGGTCGAGTAATGAAAATAAAGTTCCGAACATCGACATTTGGTAAATCACCAGCTTTAATTGGGAACATTTTGACTACATTATGATCTTTCAGTACTGATGGTTTAGCAATCAATGACACTGGATTTGTTAATGACTCATCCCACATCAAAACCTATTAAAATTAATCAAATCTTAATTATTATGAAAATTTTCAAAAATCTCAAAAATTACCTTGGTGCCTTCACATCTGTCAAGTATGTCTATTAAATCATTTAATGCCTGCTCTTGTAAGAGAGCTAGATTAACTTTAGATGATACCAAATGCGAGAATTCACTCATTTTCAATTAATTTTATTATCAGAGAACCAAAACAATAACACTGATCGGCTGTGCGGCATCGACTATAATAACAAGTATAGACGTGATCATTCATAACCGACAGAAGCGCATATTCTCGGCGATTGCTAGTCTATTTAAATGTAATGGATGAGGATTTGCAGCTCTGTTTATTGAATGATTAGCACTTTATAAACCGAAAATAACATCCATGAAGAAGGAAAGCTTTAACTTAGATGAGATGGACTGACAGACAAACTAAGGACATAAGCATATTTTCTTTCTTTATTGCAGTCGGCATCAACATCATTAAAATTCAATATTAGAAAATTCTACTTTAATTAAGTAAAAAGAGCAATGGAAGAGACAAAAATGAGTGAAGATGACTCAGTCAATGAAGTTGAAAGTGATGAAGAATCGAGTTCCGAGTCAGTTGATGAGGAAATTAAGCTAAGTCAAAACTTTATAACTGTTTTGCAAAAAATATCCAGTGATTCTAAGAATTACGAGGATTATATCTTATTGGTAAGCATCGATTAGGCTTTATTCACTTCAAATACTATAACTAATATTCTAATATTAATCCAGTTAGATATAGCGCACGATTTAAATGACCTCGATAAGATTCGACAATCTATTGAATTGTTCTCGAAAGAGTTTCCGTTATCGCCCGAATTATGGATGAAATACCTTAAAACAGAAGTCATAATTGCACAAACTGAAGAAGAGATTGATAATTTAATTAAAGTCTTTAAAAAAGCACTCGATGACTATTACAGCGTAGATATTGCATTAGAATATGCAAGCTTAACATCCAGATGTAGCGATAAGCAAGCTAAGGAGATTTGGGATGATCTCATTCCAGTATTTGGCTATGACTATTGGAAAGGACGTTTAATTTGGAAGGCATGGAGAGATGATTATATGAAAAGAGAAACTGATCAAATAGAAATGATCAGAAAAGTCGTAAAGAAATTTAAGGAAGAACTTTTACTGCCACTGCATGAAATGCAATTAACTTATGTTGAATTCCGTGAATTCCTGGAGAAATTTGGAGATCAATTACAGAAACCATTTGACAGAGAAGCTTTTGAAGTCGAAGTTAAGGACACAAAAAAGATTTTACAGAAAGTCAAGCCTTTTGAGAGTAAATTATCAAAACTGGATAATAAAGCTCATCATGAACGTGTAGAAACATTCAAGAACTATGTTGATGAATGCTCAGAATTGGAAGAAGAATATGTTCAGGTTCTTTATGAGCGAATGATTACAGCATGTTGTTTAAATGAGACAGTTTGGAAAGCATACATTGAGTACATCCAGAATAGAGCATCAGATTGGGCTCCATTAGAATCGAACAAGTCTAAAATATTTTTACAAACTGATTTGGACATTGTTAATCGTGGATTAAGGAACTGCAACTGGAGTGCTGATCTTTACATTGAAAAAATAAGAATTTTAGAAACCAAAAAGGAAACGAAAGAAAAAGTCCAACTGGTTCTTGAAGAAGCTACACAAGTTCAATATAAAAGTCCAGATCCGCTTGTTAAAGTCTGGATTGAGTACCTTACATATCTCGTACGGTCCACAAACTTCAATGAAGAGAAAGAAACAGAAATTCTAAGAAATAACTTTAATCTTGCTTGGAATTCGTTGGGTTGGCAATTTGGAAATCTAGCTGACTGTGACTGTGAAATTCTCAAATTTTGGGGACGAATTGAATATTCAAAGCTTAATGATCATAATCAAGGCAAGCAATTATGGAATACAGTCATGGAAAGCAATGACAACTACCTCAAAACTGCATTATGGATTGAATATGCTAAATTGGAGCATCAATATAAAGGAACTGATGCAGCTCGCTGGATCTGCAAACGTGCTTTAAAAGTACATGATTTAAATGACGTGCCATCAATGGTTTCATTTTGGCTGAGATTTGAGCGCTGTCATGGAACTTTAGAGTCTTTAAAAGCTTGTCAAAGTATTTGTGAGAAAGTTTTGAAGCAGCACAACAGAAAATTCAGTTCCAATAAACGCAAGTCTGACAATTTCAGCAAAGAAAAGGATAAGGAACCGAATGAAAATAAAAGAAAGTTGCCAGAAGATGAAAATCCACAACACAAAAAGAAATTTAAGGAAGATACAAAAGAAGCAGCACCAAAATATAGAGAACAAGAAAAAGCAGAAGAAATGGAAATTGACACAACTAAAGATCATGTTCGAGTATTTTTGAGTAATTTGGATATTACAGTGACTCTAAAGGATTTACAGGATACCTTTCCGGAGATAAACGTGGTCAATTTCAACATGATTGCAAAAGGAAAGGGAAAAACTGGATTTGGGTACGAAGAATTAATTTTAATCCGATGATTTAATTTAACCGTAGGATTTATCTGAATTTAATCCACATTTTCTAATAACTTGTAATTTAATTAATTGCAGCTACGCAGAACTTGCTTCAGAAGTGGACGTGAGAAAAGCATTAAGATTGGATCGAAGACTATTAAGTACGAAAAAATAAACTTTCTTTCTTTAAATTGTTCATTTACTTTACTAATTGATTTTCATTTCCTCCCAAACATAAAGGTGGAAGACCAGTATTTATATCACCTTGCGAACGTGACAAAACTCACCGTGCACATGGCTTCAAGTATTCTACGAATATCGAACCAAAAAAGCTTTTCGTAAAAGGTCTGTCATACAGTGCAGAGAATGACGACTTACAAAAACTTTTTGGTCCGTTCGGAAAGATTGTAGACATAAGAATCGTAATGAATAAGTAAGTATCTTTGAAGTTTGTGCTTTAAGAGAAATTGTCGATGGTCTTATTTTGGTTTTAAAGACTAAATACGAGAAATTAATGCTTATTTTAAACGGTTTATAAAAATTCAAATTATAACGATTTTCAAAAATTTGAATTTAAGGATCAATCTTAAATCCTGTCTTAAATTTGAATTTTTGAAAACCGCTGCATTTTTAAAAATCGATAAAATTTTGATTATTCGGATTATTTAATAATTTAGATTCGGTAAAAAGAAAGGATGTGCATACATCGAGTTCGAAGAAGAAGGACCTGTCAAGAAAGCAGTAATGAAATTGGATCAGATAGAATTTATGGGCAAGAAGATTACAGTTGCGATTTCTGAACCACCAAAGCCTGACTCAAAAGCACCTCAACCGCCTATAACTCAAAATTCAAAGCAAATGATTGCAAGAACAGAGCAAAAATCTAGAATTTCATTCATTCCTGCTTCGGTACAAAAGTCTAACTTAACAGCATCAGCACCACCGAGCAGCCAGCCTGCAATGTCAAATGATGACTTCAGAAAGTTAATTTCAAAATAATTTTGCATTTTATTGGATATCCACATGAAATAAATGATGTGAAATTTACTTAATTTTGACACTTCTTTTAACATGAGTTTTAATTCCAGTTGCTTCGCCTCCATAAAGTTCAACTTTTGATCTGATTGGCTGGACAGCTCCCTTTCGTCTTTTAACAGCTTTAACGAATTTAAGCTTGTTCTTGACTCTTGGATTGCGCAATTCACGTCTTTTACTTGCTGTAAGACCTTTATTCTTGGCAATTTGTCGAGTAATTTCACGTTTTCCACCTTTTTTATCAACTTTGTCACCCTCGTCAATTTTCTCACCTTTTTCATCCTCATTGTCACTTTCGGAATCGTGTTTATGGAATAAAGGTTTGCTTACAATTCGTTCTGTGTCCTTTGACGAATCTTCAATGTCCATTTCGACATTTAATTTAAGATTTTCAAGCATTTTTAATTTTGCTGACTTTTCTTCATCATCAGCATTGCCAATTTCAGCTAGAAGAGTTTCAATTTGTGGCTTTACTACATACTCAAATATATCGTCAAGCTGACAAATTAACTGACGGAACTGAACTAATCTTTTAACAATTGGATGATTTTTGACTTTCATTCGTTTAGCTTTCAGCATCAAGTAAAATGATATATTTGTACTATAATTAAGGATTAATTCACTTCGGCACTTGATGAATTCTATGAATGGATGATCTGTGAAATCTATTGCCTTAAAAAGATCCAGTGTTGGCTGTAATAGCTCTTTATATTCTGTCATTCGATTTGAAAAGTCTTGAACCAGACCATCAAATTCAGGAGCTTCAGATTTGAATAATGCAAGTTTCTGCTTCTTACTAAGATCCGATAAATCAGTTTTTGTGGCACTAATTTTTAATTCCTCTTGCTGTTCTTCTTGTGGCAATGCAAACATTTCAATATTAAAATCTGTTTCATTTAATTCACTTGCTAATCGTTTCTGGATGTCAAGAGCTTCCTGCTGTTCTTGATTTGCTATTTCCTCTTCCTTTTCAGTGTATGTTCGGTAGTCATTATCGTGAAAATCTGTATTGTAGAAAGTTGACTTCTTTTTACCCCAGGATCTAGTGTCTGGTAACCCATCTTCTTGCTCATTGCCATCAAAATCACTGTCAGCCTCGAATTTCTCTGGTTCATCGTCACTGCTGAATTTTAAGACTTCTTCATCACTCTCATCATTTTTCTTGTTGCCTTTTCTCACTTTTTTCAGCAAATTCCGTTCGCGTTGTGTATATTCTTCATCAGAATCCGATACATCATAGTCATTCTCGTAATTTAGATCCAGCTTATCAGCCATGATTCTACTGTAATTAATATTTTTTGATTTAAATGCTTTTTATGTTTCAATGTTTACAAAATATTATTTGAGGTTATGTCAGCTTAAAGCTGAGCAGCACGAAGGGGGAAAACTCCATTTGTTTTACCCATCACGTAGTTTTCCCCCTGTCACACTGTTTTACAGGCAAAACATTCATAACAATCAAAATAAATAAATTAAACATGTTTCTCTCAGTAATATCACGATCAATTCGTCGAGGTAAGTCACTTAACATCCATTCTATTAATTAGACTAATTAAAACATTAAATCTATATCCAGTGGCATCACAAAATCCAGCAAACCTTGTAAGACCATTTTCATCAACATCAGATCCAAAGGAATCAAGCAATGATGAACCAATTGATATGGAAAACCCATTTGAAAAGGAGAAAGTAAAGTGTATTCTATGTCAGCATAATATTGAGCCTTCATACAGAAATGTTCAGCTACTGTCTCAATTCCAATCAGCTTATACAGGTAGAATTTATGGTCGGCATATTACTGGATTATGTAAAAGTAAACAAGAAAAGGTTGAGAAGGAAATAGCAAAAGCACAGTCAGTTGGATTCATGGGATTTGTTACAAAAGATGTCAAATATATCAAAGATCCGAAATTATTTGATCCAGAACGACCAATTAGAAGCCATAAATATTAAATAATGAATTAATTTCACTAGTGCTGTATGATTTTTATGTATAGTAATAAAAATTTATGAAAACTAAGAAATGATGGCTTTATTTATCTTTGCATAGAAAACAACTTATAAAAATTAACGGGTTTCAAAAATTTGAATTTTTAACTCTATTCAAATTTTTTAAACCCGTTAAGATTCAAAGTATAAAAAACCGGGCAAGTTTCAAATTTTTGAAACCCGTTAAAATTCAAACTTTTGAAAATCGTTATTTTTTACACTAAAGCTTTTGAGAGAAAATTAATGAAGATTCTCTTTCAATTTTAAAAATATGCTCCAGTTTATTAATTACTCCATATTTTTACGCTATGATATGTTATCAACTCATACCTATAACAAAGATAAGATAATACCACAGAGACAAACCTGGAATAAATATTAGAAAAACTTTTAGTTTAGTCTGTTCCTCAGAAGTGTGGAATTATAATTCAGCAAGTGCCAAAAGAATTTCTTTTATTATGTTTTAAACTATTGGGAGATAAGATAACAAAGCGAATTCTATGTTTAATTATTTGTATGATTCAACGTAATTGCAACATGAAATTTTATATATTTTTATGCTTGTTCATCCCATACGTTGGTAAATTTGTGCTAAATTACATTCAATTGTATGAACAATTAACTGTGAAATATTTTATTTTTTGTGAACAGTCCCACAACGGATTAGAATACCCCAAAGTTTAGTTCATTGCTATCGAGGAAATAATACGGAATATTTTTTTCCAAGTTCATTGCCAATTTTTATCGATATTGTGAGGAAAATCGAACAAGCCTTTCCTACGAGTATCGATTTGAGGCATTTGTCATCGAGATTATTTCATGAGTAAGTAAATTAATTGTGATTTCTTCAATCGAATGAGCAGAAGCTCTACATGTTTGTTTTTTTTTTAAAGTAAACAATTTCGGTTTTTGTGAAATTTTAAATTATTATTTAACAGTTTTCAAAATTTTGAATTTTACCAGTTTTCAAAAAACGGCTTGTCAAAAATTTGAATCTTTACGGTTTTCAAAATTTTGAATTATAACGGTTTTCAAAAAATTGAATTTAAAGATTTTCAAAAAATTAAATTCAACGGTTTTCAAAAGTTTGAATTTTTACATAACTCCCCCCTTGTGAAATTTACAATTATTATTTAACAGTTTTCAAAATTTTGAATTTTACCAGTTTTCAAAAACCGGCTCGTCAAAAATTTGAATCTTTACGGTTTTCAAAATATTGAATTTTAACGGTTTTCAAAAAATTGAATTTAACGATTTTCAAAAAAAAACTAAATTCAACGGTTTTCAAAAGTTTGAATTTTACATAACTCCCCCCCCCCCTTGTGAAATTTAAAATTATTATTTAACAGTTTTCAAAATTTTGAATTTTACCAGTTTTCAAAAACCGGCTTGTCAAAAAATTGAATCTTTACGGTTTTCAAAAAAATTAAATTCAACGGTTTTCATATCATCCATATAAGATCCTGTTAAATGATTGACGTCCTTGAATAAAAACATTAATCTTCAATTTTAGTCTCCGAATCGATGGCATTCAAAGGTCACCATTTGCAGTTGAGTCCGATGATATTACAGTTTATGGAGTATCAGGATTTATGACCAATAAAAATAGAGTTTTACAGCAAGTAATTTCAAAAGTATCGGGGGATATAAATTATGAAGAGCTTTTAACGCCAACGGAACTTTGTATTCTACATAAACTCATGAGCTCCTCTGTAGAGCCGTACGAACAAATGAATGAATTAAGAATTTGTCCAAGGGATATTTTAAATACAACATCAGATCAATCTATTGTTAGATCCAAATCACCGCCTCTTTTCATTCCAAATCGAAGGGCATTCAATAATCACACAATTGTAGCACCAAATTTTTCAAGATGTCCTGTCGAATTAGGTGTTGTGTATAATGATCATGGGTCTTTTCACCCCGGAGTAATCATCGCATCAATTGCATCTGGTATGCAGCCACAAAATATAAAAATTGGTGACTTTGTAGCTGAATATAATGAGCGTGATATTTATGCAAATCTTGAGACAATGGAAGACACAGATAATCGACAGCGGGTCGAGAAAATGTTATCATCATTGAGTTCAATCGATAATACATATGCAGCCGGGCTTGTAAGTGATTTAGCTGAAGTGGTTTTATATCAAGGAGCCGAGCTGGGTCATAATTTTTCAATTGGATTTCCAGGATTATGGAATGATACATATTTTGCCAGATGTCATCATTTAAATGGCAGTAGAAGTGGATTTTTTCATCTTACAGATTCGGAACTTTTGAGTGGACTCGATGGACTTTTTATATCCCAACAAGTTGCATCATGGTCAACTCGTCTTCGACGCTTGAGATTATCACAAATCCTTGAAATGTATTATCTCCATCAAGGCATTTCAATTCCAATTATTCAAACGACAAATAATAATAATTTCTTTAGTGGAAGACCAAATAATAACAAAGGAAGTAAGGATGAAGAGAAAAATGATGAAGAAGATCCGAAATTTGCTGGAAAACCTCTTTTTCGTAAAGCCTTCAATTACAAAGTTCTAAATGAAGAATTAATGGATATTGATGTTAATTATCTATCACGATTCTCAGTTGTTGAAGGAATCAATTCTGTTTGTCATCGTCAAAAAATCATTGAAATGATTGACATAGACAAATTAAAGGATGAGACGTATAATTTTATTCAAATCTTAGAAGTTGTCACAAAGACACCAATAATTACTCTCACACTCCTCAAAGACTTTTCAAATACAGTCGTGGATAGAATTATGGAATATGCTAAAAATCTAGTCGCTTCCACAAGCGATTGCACTAAAAAGCCAATTAATATAAAGAAATCACGTATTGATTTAACATTAATAATTGATGGATCAAGAAGCTATTACGAGAATTTACAACTCATTAATTATATAGCCGAATTAATTGGCGTTTCAAGATATGGCTCTTATATCTCGGTTGTTCATGGAAATAACGGAAACTACTTAGCAAATAAGACAAATAATATAGCTGATTTATTCGAGCAATTGAGGAACTCGAGCTTTAATGGTTTGTAATTGTTAGATTTTCTAATGCAGCTCATTAGATCCAGTATTGGTTTCTGATAGCTTGGTTCTGGATCTTGAGATGATGGGGGAATACAACATGAAGGGAAAAACATTCAATGGGAGGTAAACCTATCAAGTTGTTCTCCTCTTGTCCAAATGTTTACGTATCATGTTGTATTCCCCTCTGATTTTTCTTTTAAAATTGATAGCCCATTATGTTGTTTCCCCCTTAATCTTGAAGATCTGTAAAAATAATCAAAAAATCTTAAAAGTTAAACAACTGAATGTTGTTTTATCTAGTTAATGTCTAGTTCTGAAGATGATTAATAACATCAGAATCTTTAGAGCACTAATCGTATCTAATAGATGTTAGATTAGTGAGTAGAACTAGACATTAACTTGACAGATCGATCAGTTCTCAACTCGGATTAATATTAATCAAAATTTGATCATATTGATCAGTTCCACACCCTTGATATTATCCATAGAGGGCATACTTACTAGCTGTAAACAAAACAGACATAAATTCAATCAAAATCCAAAAGAACAAGCCTAAAAATCATCCAATAAGTGTAAATTGCGAATAATTTACAATTCAAATTTTACACGAAAAATAAGACATGACGTATCTATTGAGACGCATTAGCATAATCTCCGCCTATTTACAAAACATTTTAAAATTATTTTTTTTTTTATTCTCACAGTTCCATTTAGATTATCAATTCTAAATTCTCTAAGCAGTGTCATGACTAAAATGTCAGAACAGCTTCAAGAAGAAAAATCATCTGGCAGTTATATGGAATTAAGTAAAGTAATTCTGTTAGTATCTCAATCCCACCGTATCAGTCAATTGGATTTTGAGAATTCTCAATGGCTTTTAAGGAGTTCAATGCTACAATTTCCTGATTTATATTTCGTGTTTCTATCAAATGATGTAAACACATTTCAAGAAATGATTAATGGCAATAATGGAAATCCAGTTACATCAGCGAGAATGGTAATAACAGAAAGAAAGGGGTTGTTCATAAATGATGTCAAATTTTAGACATAAAGAGGGAGGGTCTGGAAAATTTGTCACAATAAAAGAAAATTGTTTGGACATTTTCTGATAGAACAAAGACTTCAAGCTATAACTGAAAGCCCGAACTTATGAACAACCCTAAAATGAAAATTAATCTATTCTTTTTTTTTTTGCAAAATAACGATCTAAAATTGTCATTACAGCTCATTGAAACTGCTGAACGATACCGTTTCGTGGATGCTTCTTCCACAAGCATATCGACGTTTGAAAAATCTTTAGAGTCAGCAATTACCGTAATTCCAAAGCGTATCGTTTCACCCTTTTGTCATTATGAAAATAATAACAGAACAGCATCGTACATCCGAGATGAGTTTGAGGATTATGCAATGCCTAATGTCGATTTATTGTATCGAATAAGTCCGTACTATCTTCTTGGCTCAGACGAGACTCGCGTAAGATTTCAAGGGGTTGGATATGGTGATTTATCCGTCTGCACATCTCGATATTTTAATATGACAGACAAAGAATGCAAATCCATTCAGGATATTGAAAATGTTTGGTTCAACATCACCCAGCCATGTCTTAATCATCACGTCTCGGACGGATGTTTAGGCATTTATTTTTCTGTTTCTGTAGAAACAACTTATGTTAGATGTAGTGAATACACGTGCAGGTAATTTGCTTTTAATTATTAGCCTATTAACATTGTTCTATTTTTATATCTATTTTCAGATTTCCCGACGACGTACGATTTAATGTTCGACCTGAAGGACTTCGTTGTGAAACAAATTCTTCGCCGAAAAATTTTATTTTCTCATCAACATTAACGTACGTCATTGTCAGCTTTATGGTTTATTTATTAAAATTATCGTAAAATTATTTTTGAAACTGTAAATTATAATTAAGGAAGTCAATTAGAAATAAAATGTATTTTTGTAAGGTTCATTGTTTGGGGTTTGTCGTATTGATGCAAAGTGGTATTTAGAGAAGTGAGTCAAATATAGGTGAATCTGTTAGTGCTAGAATGTAGTCTGTGCATGCGAGTGGTTTAAGCAACAACCCAGATAACAGTAACATTCTTTATTGAAGACTTGGGTTCGATTCTCTCCAGAGACCAAAGGGATTAGAACTGATTAATTCATTTTTGATCATTTTGATCAGTTTCGCATCCTTGCCAGAGACTGATCTCTCAGTTATTACATAAAATATGGTCAAAATGACAAGAATTCAGCAAATATTAATGACATGTCGACATTCGTTCATTTAAAAGGAGGTTGGAGACAAGATAGTACGTCCTTCATCCTGTATACTTCCTATCGTTTATAACTGATTCCTATCATTTGTGTAACCAGATTTTTCTGTGGATGAGTTTTTCTGAGAAGCCATGAATCACAACGCGAAAAAGAGATTGAAATGTTTAAACACATTTTACATTCCTTTGGATCTCCATAGATGAGCTGAAAGTTCAGAGCCAACAAAGGATTACCCCCTTCAAACGATACTTACTTGCTTAATTCCTTGGCTGGGGCGCACATGGGCCCATTGCCGCGCTTAGAGATCGTCTGAAGACAGCTCTATCCTTAGAAACCTTCTGCCAGTTCGGGATATTAAGGACCCTAGCGTCATTTTCAACACATCCAATCCACGAGATCTTCGGTCTTCCTCTAGATCTCTTGCCATCCATAAAGTCTGCTACTGTCACTTTTAGTACTGGAGCATCTTGTGAGCGTCTGAACACATGTCCAGCCCCATCTCAAGCGATTTACACGAAAAACTGTAGCAATATCAGCTTCCTGAAATAAATGATATAACTCAGCATTATGTCGTCTTCGATACTCTTCTCCTTCCTTCACAGAACCATAAATCGCTCGTAGTATTCGCCTTACGAAGACATCAAGTGCTTCCTCATCCGCTTGTGTTGAATTCCAGGTTTCCGAGTCATACAAGGCAATAACTCGGATAAGCGTTTTATATAACGTGACCTTAGTTCCTCTGGACAGGCTCTTGAACGTAAGAAGGTGTTTTAAGTTATAGAAAGCTCCATATGCCGAGTGGATCCCTTCAAAGAATATCCAGCTTAATTATACAAACTCTTGATTTTTTTACAAAGAATTCTCAAAGAAAACTTAAATCCTAAACTCTGCAAAACTTTCAGCTCATGAATCTTACTATTTATTCAAGAAAAAAAAACTTTCAAGAAGCACCAAACACAACAGATCAAATCTCCTAATGAATGCACATCACTTTATCTGACTAAATGAATTCAAACTTATTCAGAATAAAGCTCAAATGGCACGTGTAAAAAGATTAAATAGGAAGACAAAAGATAATGCCGAAAAAAAAGAGAGAAAGTTTCTGTTTTGATGCCTCAAGATGATTCCATTCTTTTGTTAAGGCACATAAATACATCACTACTTTTTATTATGTGAACTTCACTCCTTGAGTGAGTGTTGCTTTTCAACAACATCTCTTTTTTTCTTCGGTTACGTGATGTTATAGTTTGATGGCGACGACGATGCGTCCATTAAGTTACTGTTGCCAAATTCCTTGAGACCAAATAAGACGTGAGCATGATTAGATTACTTTGAATCCGGAGAGGAAGTTTTTTTTTTGTGTAGAGAAATCAATAAAATGCCCCGGCTTGAAATTTTCCACTCCAGACAACAGACTAGTTGAAAGGTGGGCGTAAAAAAAATGAGAATTAAAAATGTCAAAACCTTATTCATGCTGATGATTTTCCTTTGTTGATTCCGATGACCTCTCCTTTATGATATCATGAGCGAAATACGCTTTTCCACACTCATATTATGAATTTAATTATCTTCGTCACGACATTCACTCGAAATGTCTTTTTTTTTTCCTGAAAGTGATTTATTGTTTGCCTTCTTCTTTGCTCGATTCCTTAATTTTTTTTGCATATTCTTGTTTGAGCTTACCCTCACGTTTTGCGCGTTATTTCTGCCTTTTTTAAAGTTCACAATGTGGTTTCACTTTGATATTTTTGCAAATGTAGAAGAACTGATCAAGACTGCCTAATAGAAATGAAGCCAGAACCAAGAGCGTAACAACTTAGAACTGAAAGATATAAAATCACATGAATATTTTAAAACAAACTTTAGTTGTGTCTAAAAGCAATAATTTGAACCTTTATAGCAATCTATTCGTGATAAACTGTAACTTTAGCCAGCTAATTATTTTAAAGTACTTAGTAACAAGCAAAACGTTCTTGTAGAACGCGATGATACAGCCTAAGGATATTAGTATTTCTAGGAATTAAGAGAAAGCAATTAATTTAAAAATTAACGGTGTTCTATCATTTCCAATAGATTCAGGTTCCATAAATATATTATGAGGTATAAAAGGAAACGGCGAGAAACTTTTATTCCTATAAAAATTTCTGGATAGGTTGATTGGATGGACCCAATTTCTTAACCAATCATCCTTCTCGCCCGACTTTTTAAACGTACTCATCACGTGGTTTTGTTTATGAAATAAAAAAATCGTTAATTATAGCATAAAAACTTGGATTGTAGAATTTTAACCATTCGATGGGCCAATAAATCGATAGTAACAGAGCTTAACAAGTTAACTTGAAATTCTGAGCTTACTATAGCTACATGCTGAAAAAATATTTCACAGAATCATAGTAAAGCATGTAAAGTTCAATTTAAATACTTAAAATGGGTGTTAAATGGCTTTTTTTATCAAAAAAATCAAAAATTGAGTTAAGCCGAAAAAATCGGCTTCGATCTCTGATTTAAAGATTAAAGGATCATTAATTTTAGTGCAATTAGCAAATATTTATAATGAATGCTTATAAAGAAAGGCTTTATTATTTAACGGTCAAAAAATAATTTGAAATTTTCTCGCTAAAAGTAGCACTTCAAAACAATAACTATAGTATAATTAAATAATTTGTAGAAATGAATTTCCATGTAGAAAAAGTTTATAATTTAACGGTTTTTTTGAGATTTAAATTTTCTAGCGGTAGAAATAAATTCGAATTTCTAAACACTCTTATGAAATATAAAAATCATTAATTATAGTACAAAAACACTGTTTCAAGACTTTTTAACACGTTTTCCGAAAATAAAACAATGGACCTGAGCTAATAAAACAAACTAGAACTCTCTACGATGTCTAGTTAAAAAGTTTTTCTCCGCCCGAACGAACAGACATAGTGAGATATTAAGCTTCGAGACAAGTTTCAAAAATGCGCTAAAAATAGAAGTCTGCTCTCTGAAAAACCAACCAGATCCCCCAGGTCAGCTTACCTAAAAGTTGATGTCTCCAAACCTTTCCGATAAAATGCGCTTAATGCTTTCATCATTGCAAAAATTTTCATATTAATTATCTTTCTATACCTGTTAAATACACACACATTTCATTCATCGTAGAATGATATTAAAAAAAAGTAAGCATCGTTCTTTTTCCTTCACTTCCTCATTTATTCCTAAAAATTTGCGATTTTCCTACCTCCTTAATAAAGCTTTTAAGGTAAGATTATAATTGCAAATAGAAAGAAATTTGCAAAATTAATTAAATTCATGAGAGCAGAAAACTTTGTCATTTGTAGAAATTCACGCTATAAAAGTTGAGGAATTAAAACTTTTTATTCAGCATACAAAAATAGCTTTAACTTCCTCATTTTATTTCAACAATGTTACTGCGATTGCATATATAAATCTTTTTGACTTAATTCTTTATTTGACCATGCAATTGAAGAACTTTGCGTGCTTCTTACAGCTCTTTTTGTTTGTATTGCTATAAAAGCACTGGAAGTGCTTATCAACTTGCCATGCGCGGATATTTCTCCTCAAACCTTTTTGGAATGTCTTTACAGCTTCATCAAGTCATAACGAATTATCATTTACATTTTTTTGCTATAATTTAAAGGTTTTCATCGCAATGATTAAGGCATACAGGAAAGACAATAATTTTCCATAAGGGAGAATTAAAAAAGAAAGCACTTAAAAGTAGAAATAAATTAAACTCAAATTCATTCTAATTTGAACTTTTTTATCAGTCTCGTAAAACTCATTTAGAAATAATTTATACATGCATGCATAGAATGTTCTTTTGGAAACACCTGTGGCAATCCTTTCTCGCAATAAAGACACATCAGGGGACTCATTCATTAATGATGTTCATCATTTTAAATGTCTGAAACTTTGTGATCCCTTAAAAAGATAAAATATTCTGACAACTAGGGTTAAGTTAATTTTTTGATAACCGTCATTTATGAACGAGACCATAGAATTTGTGAATAAAACAAGTATCATTACAATTAAGTAGAAAGCATTGCATCGCGGTGTCAGAGAATTGTAAAATTAATTTTTCAAATGGGATTCATTAAGAAAAGGAAAATAAATTAAAAATATGAAGGAGAGAAGATGCTTCATTAAATTATGGAATTTAAAATGAGTGGTTAAAGTGCGAATGTTCACTTTAGGTTTTGAGGAGCATTTTATGATTTTTGAAACGGAATTGATCTTGATTTTTCACCTCCAACATCCCCACACCCTTAGCTACTTAGCAATATAATAGAGAATATAGATGCGAACTTATATTAGATACGAACTGTGTGCCTTAAAAGAGTTCAGGACAAGTTCAGGATATCAAAGTCATCAAATATATCATCGTGGAGTGCCGTAGCACAAAAAAGGTTGGCAACCACTGATCTAGACTATTGGGCTAAATCTATGTGAATCTGTCAAAACTTGAATAGCACCTCTGTGATCGAGTTGGGTTTAATTAAAATATCAGATATCTATAACCCTATCTTTTTTGAAGACATAGTTTCGATTCCCATTATTGATTAAATTTTCAGTCACTATAACAAAACCGAGTAACCCCTGAGATAGGGGACGGTTTACACCTACATCTACACGTTGTAAGTGTTTACAGAAATACTCTCTCCAGGGGTTATAAAGGGTCAAAACACC